TCTGTCCCACTTTTGTTAAAGGTTTTAAGGTTCAATTAAGTCCTAACAATCCTAGAAACTCCTCTGTTTCAAATACGAATTGTTTGACAAAAATTTAAAACGTAATCAAAACAGTATATGCAAGAAAATCGATCTCAGTTAATTAAATATACAAACAGTTTACAGTCTGATATAACATGCATCAAATAACCGTTTTAAAGTTTGAATTAATTCCTGGAGACTATATAGCATGCACAGAACACAGGTTTAAGGGAAGGAGTTAGAATAAAACTTGCCTTCGGTTTCAGTTTTGAAACCTTAAACCACCGTCTCTGAATTTCAGCAAATCCCAAGACTGATCTCCACCTCTATTCATTGTTCTCCTCCTTTGTTGCCTCTTGGTTCCACCCACGAGCAACTCCCTTTCCTTATTCCTTGAGCCTCTTTGCTTCCTCTCAAGTTTCTCTCTCTTTTCCTCCTAAATCCTTCTCTATTATGTCGCTCTGCCTCACAGTACGTGAATAGGTCTCCAACCCTAGCAGACATAACCAAGAATATATATATACGGCTACACCCTAAGTCAGATTATACGGTATGTATATAAGCTTCCACTAAACCCTAATTCTAAACCCCAACTGAATTACAAGTCGGCGACCATAATTACATAAAAAATAAAACCCTACTACATACGACACATATAAATTACCAACCAATTTAGTCATACAAGCCATTTAAATAAAACAAGTCAATTAAAACACCAATTAATCAAATAATTAAATTAAATAACAATTAAACAATTAATTTAAAACAAATACACAATTAACCAATTGAGCAAATAAGCACTTAATTCAATAAAAATGCAATAAAATCCTTAATTAAAATACTGAGACTATCCTTTTAAAATTAGGGGTATTACACATCGACCAGTATCCATGAAGCATCGGTACTGATACATACCCTCTTAAAAGTATCCGTATTTCCTAGATGATTATAATTATTATCTTAAAATTACTTGAGATTATATTTAGTTGCTTAATTTATGCTTACGGAAGGCTGTGGGACGGTTTTGATAATGGCACTTTAGGTGGAACACATTTAAGATAGATACATTTTTACTATGCATACTCATATCTTGTCTTACTTGTTTTAAGTTTTTATTAGAAAAGAGAACAAGAAATAGATTTTTATTATTTGTATTTTTATCTTGTTATTACTCTCATTGTCTTTAAAATTTGTACTTATAAAATTAATAAGATTTATTTATTATCTTAAAATTACTTGAAATTGTATTTAGTTGCTTAATTAATTATGCATACCAAAAGACTCTGGATCACTCCTAACTTCAAAAGAGGGACAGATTTGATAATGGCACTTTGGGTAGAACAGTGGAACAATTTGAGATAATAACACTTTTTACCATACATACCTATGTACTTTTAACTTTTTTATTTGGAACCTACTATTTACACCTTATATTTCAACCAATGACTAGTTGACACGTGGCGAGTTTTACATAAGACTTACCATATGTCAATTCTGTTTACACCATAATTATCAGCTACTTTCTAGTGGAAGGATTGCCTTGGTCGATTCCAATGGAAGGTACTACGACGTTCCAGTGAAAATCACTATCTTCTAAAGACTTTGGCTAAAACCAATCCAAGGTGAACACATGTCTTAATAAAAAGACCACAACTATAACTATTTGCACCATAATCACCAGTCACTTTCCAATAGAAATTTGTTGTAGCCGATTCCAATGGAAGGGTGATATGCAAATGTGGGTGCAATCATAAAGTAACACATGGATTCATCTAAGAAAACAATTTGGTGAAGTAACCACCTTAGGACACATGGCAGCCAATGAAGTAAGTGGTTACATGCAAGTGGAAAGTCATAGGATACATGGCAGTCAAGGAAGTAAGCGGTTACATGTAAGTGGAAAGTCATGGGACACGTGGCAGCCAAGGAAGCGAGCGGTTACATACAAGTGAAAAGTCATGGGACACGTGGCAGCTAAGGAAGCGAACGGTTACATGCAACTGGAAAGTTATGGGACACGTGGCAGCCAAGGAAGCGAGCGGTTACATGCAAGTGGAAAGACATAGGACATGCTTACTACCATTACTAAATTCTATAAATAAGCATGTTATTGTTACGTAGAAGGCTTATTTAAACACACAACACAATTACAACAACATTTCAATACAATTTACCTTTTCATTGCAATTCACTTTCAATATGTTTAGCCTAAGTCCTGCACTTTACTTTACATTAGAATATTTTCATTCAAGTCAATTACTTTTAGAAGTAGTTCATTTCTCCTTAGCCAAATAGCAGTCCCAAAATCCTTTTTCAAAGGCAAAAAGAACCCAAAGGTGTTCATTCCAGACCTTTTCACAATCGCCTAGTCTTGCAATCTTCCATCTGGAATATTGTTTGGATCTCTCTTTGGAACTACAGCAATTCATGGCACGCCCATCCGATTCCATCGGAACCGACCATTTTTACAGTCCAAACATAGTGGCACGCTCGGTGGGACCACCGGTAAAAGATCTTTCTTATGGCATATCTAAGCTTTGAACATGAAGAATACTACCAAAAGATGGCCAAAGAACGTGAAGAGTACTACCGAATAAGGGCCAAAGAACGTGACGAGTACTACCTAGAGATGGCTAAAGAACGTGAAGAGTGCTACCAAAGGTACCGAAGGGTGGAAGAAAAATGTGAGCAATATTCCCCAGAATTCAAGAAAAATCTCCAAGAATGGAAAATGTGCCAATAACGTGTACAAACCCTTCCATGAGCTCAGCAACAACCACCACCTATAATGTCGATTCCACCACCAGTTCAAGTTCCACTTCAAGTGGAACCTTAAGTGCAAAACCTTCCACCAGCAGTAGCTCAACCACTTCCATCACAGGTGCAGATTCCACCTGTGGTGCAGAATCCTCCACCAGCAACAATCTAGCAACTTCAATTTCAGGTCCAACAAAATGTTCCACTTTCAAACATTCAACAACCTACAAAACACAACACTAATGTCACTTATGGCGTTTCCAATGGCATTTGAAATGCAACGCCCTCCAAGGAAACCTCGTGATCAAGGAATAAATGCAATCCGCCGGAGGAGTATTCTTCTAACAGACCCAAACCCAATTCCAGTGGTGTTTGGGGGGCATCTAATGGCCAACCTACTTAAAGGTTGGCCAGAAAATACAACCCAACTTGCTGACTTTTCCCAACAAGACTATGGCTTGGCCATGAGGAAGGTCAACAAACCTTTTCATAGGAAGCCGTTACCACTTCTTCCATTTGAAGAAGATTTTCCACAGTTAGATTTTCTTTCGCAAACGGCAAAAATTTTTCAATTGTTGTATATTCTTCCACTTGAAGAATATAAATGTTATAGTATTTTTCTTCCAATTTTGGAAAAATATGCTATTACTTTATTTGTCCCAAATTCACACCTTGTGATTTTTGGGGGACAAAACTTGGCTAATCAACTATGTATTTGGCCAGAAGATGTACAAATTCATCCTCCTCGTAAACTTCTAGACCCCGGGGGGCAACGAAATTTGACGTGGTACTTCAAATCCTTAAGCTCACAACTTTTGTCTTAGTTAATAAGCTGATTAAAGTTTTCAATCCAATGGTACATTCCGGTTGAAAAACCAACAAGAATATCATATGACAAATTCTCACTCACATCTAAAATTTGATATGCCTTACAACTCTTCAAAGAATATCAGGCCCATTAAATTTGGGAGGGGCAATGTTTACACCCTATATTTCAGCCAATGACTAGTTAACACGCGGCGAGTTTTACATAAGACTTGCCATATATCAATTCTGTTTACACCATAATTATCAGCTACTTTCCAGTGAAAGGATTGCCCTGGTCGATTCCAATGGAAGGTACTACGACATTCGAGTGGAAATCACTATCTTCTAAAGATTTTGGCTAAAAACCAATCCAAGGTGGACACGTGGCTTAATAAAAAGGCCACAACTATAACTATTTGCACCATAATCACCAGTCAATTTTATAAAAGCTGTAAAATCGTTAATTGAATTCCATTTAGTGGCTGGTAGGCTGTTAATAGAATGGATTTTGATCCGAATTTAATTAATAAGTTGGATATAGACTAAATATTTAATCTCATAATTCATTAATAATTTAAATTTGATAATTCATTAAATTAATAAATTCGATATGAGTTATGGTTAATTTGATTCGTTTATAACCCGCTCTGACCAACTATAATATATAATATGTTATACATATATATTTAGTAATTCAAATGGTATGTAATGGATAAAACATTAATAAAAAATGTTGTTTACTTAATGTTTTATCATGTACAGTATTAAAACTTATTTCGGCTTTATTTTTCTTTTCCCCTTCATCCTATGAATTTTCCCCTGTTATTATTTCTTTAACTAAGAAAAAAAATATCTAATTTTTCTCTCTTTTTGGTTCATATTTAACAAAAATTACACCCCTTGCCAAATTGGATTATCATATATTCCATAAATTACAAAATCAGAATTTAAATTCAGTGACAAATAATTCGTTGCTTAGAGGTAAGTTTTCTTCACATCCACATTGTTTCTCAATTTATTTTTATTTTTAAAAAAATGATAATCGAAGTGTAGTTGGATCCTAACATCATATTTACTGATTCGTCGTATCATCCAATACGTCACGTATTGTTGCATAAGCGACCATTTTTAAAGTTCAAAATGGGACGCGTATTGACACCGCTGCATCGGTTGTGACCCGTACTGAAGATATGCCGTGTTGCCCTAAAATGGACTTCAACAGAGTCTCTCAATTAAAATTTACATCATGTGTAAGCAATAACACATGGTATCCAAAACAGTAAAATATCTATCTGTATTATGCCGCTGCAGCACAATAACAAAACTATAAATTTAAAGAAAAATAAATGAAAGAATAAATAGAAACAAAATACAACTATACATATAATTCTATACAACTAAGTTAAGTCTAAATATATTCATGAAAAAAAATAAAAAAACAATTTAATTTCAAATTCCAATTTTGTTTTCTGTTACAACAAATGAGGGAAATCAGAGAGACTATGTATAAGATTATAAATAAAAAAAATCATGTAGAATGAACGGAAAACATTTTCCTTTCATGTCCCTTCCTTTGCTGGTTTGTGTGTCGAGGTGTCACGCTTCGAGGAAACCAGTCATCCTCAGAATTGAATTCCTCACTTGGCTCAAGTCCCTTCCTTTCAGAGTCCCCCCATTTCCGGTGCACACCGAGAACGCCATTTTCCCGGCGATTCTCCGGCCGAGGATGAGGTGAGGTGGAATCAGCTCTCCGTCATCGCCATCGAAGAAGTCCGATTCCACGCACTGAAACCACGAATTCCCAGCAAAAGCGTCAGGGATATTCACCGGAAGTGAATTCCTCTTCTTTTGCTTCTTTCTCTTGGGCTTGTTCTTACTCAGTTCACATGAATTCGAATCGAAGTTGTGCACATCGTTACTGCTTTCTGCATTTTCCGGGAAAATCACCTCGGATTCTTGGAATTCTTCTTCCATGGAAAATGGGAATGGAAAAAAGAAAGAGAGAATTAAATGGGGATGTTTGGAGATTGAGAATTAGAAGAAGGGAGGAAATGGAGAGGCATTTATGGGGAGAGAGGAATCTTAGTCGTAGTGAGTACACTTTGGATGTGTCGTCAGATGTCATCACTTGTGTGTCAGATGTCATCACTTGTGTGCGGTCCCCGCTAACTTGTTCGCTTAATTTTTCTCTCTCCAACTTACTCAATTGCCTGTACAGATGTCATCACTTATGTGTCAGATGTCATCACTTATGGCTCACGGTTTTCTTGTAGCTTGTGTTAATAGCAACGCATAATTATTGATTATTGAATTATATTATTATTATATTTACTTTTGACTTTTTTTGTCCTCTCGTTGTCTGTGTCATTTGCCTCATTCTTGTGCGTCTTTTTAACTTGTTCTTATTTATAATTTGGGTAAAGGACACCGCATCTGAGATATGTCAAAATGACACACATACAAAAGTTATCTATTTTTGGACTAACGATACCTTCTGGAAAATTTTTTATCCAACATCTTAAATTATATGAAAAAATAAAATTATTCTTTAATATTGATTCAAATTAATTACAAAATATTAAATCTGTCAAAATGACTCAATTGTCCCTCAAAATTTAGGGCCACAAATTAACTCCACTTGGCGCCAAATTAACAATCAGTGAATTGCAAAATATCAAACTTGTATTTTTTTTAACCAAAATTATGTTCCTGTTTAATTTACTATATTATCTATTAATTTACAAAAAAAAAAAATATGGGATTTTTTTTTTTTAACAAAAATTTCGTTCCTATTTTCTTTTCAAAAATATATTGTAAAGAAAATATGTGCTTTGCGGTTTTCTAAATATGGGCTTTTCTTTATTTTCTTTATAAGAAAATTTTGTTTCCATTTTCTTTACTAAAAATTTTGATAAATTGTGGCAGAATGAAATAAATTTTTTTTTTTTTTAACAAAGGGGGTTATCAAAATTGTTATTACCATAAAAATAGAATGGAAAATAACTAAATAACTAAAATAGGCGAAGTAACACCCAGTAGCATCAATTAGCTCTTGAAAGACATTATTCAAAGATTAGATAACCATTCATAATCTCTCACAATTTTTTTAAGGCAAAATTGAATAACATTGATGGATATAAGTAGCACCCATAGACACCCTTTTAGATTGGTCAAACTTTCTTTTTTTGGTAAGAAATTGAAAATTTATTATAGCAAAAGAAATATGCAATTTTGTTATCAATTTTGTTATTTTGAGAAACTGTAAGTTATCAATTTTGTTATTTTGAGAAATTGTGGCAGAATAAAAACAAATGGTTTTTTTTTTTACCAAATATTTTGTTATAAATTCACATATGGGTACTTTCGTCCAATTTATTAATTGTTTCAGGGATGTATGTATACATATATAATCTATATTCCTAGCATTGTGATTGTATGTTCATAAAGGGTAGTTTTGTCCAATTTATTAACTTGTAAAGTTAAAAAGGTCAACTAAATGGTCATAATGTAATTTGGTAAATTTTAATGCTAGTTGATTTCAAGGGGTGTCTTTATCCACTTTTCAATCTTTAAGGAGTGTCATTGTCCCAAAAACAGTTAACTTTCATTTTAGTATCCATTTGACAAACTTCAGAGGGTATTGCTGTACTTTATCCTTATATTTATTTTTCACTATTACTATACTCTATTTCAAATGGTGGAATATTAATCAAATACGTATTTTTATAATTAAATACTATAGTTGTGAAGTCTAATTTTGTCAATTCATTAAAAAAGAACTATAGTGAAATTCGAATGTGATTTCTCTTTTTTGATGTTTTATTATTCAACTGAATCAGTCTTACTCCCTTTACTAATATATTTTTTTATAAAATTTTGCTTCTTTGTAAGTAATAATATTGATATTAGTCAATAATTTAAATGAAAATAAGGTAATGACGATTTGGAATGGGTCATTAGTTCTATGATATAATCTCTTTTCTTCTGAAGGAAGATTAAACTGAAAATTAAATACTGAAAATTAAGTATTGAAAATTTTAAATTTTGAAGTTTTGAAGTAATAATTAATAAATATTTATTTTTTTTATATCTTTTTAAATTTCATCTATCATCTAAAATTTTATTCTATTTTAAACAGTGTTATTCAAATTATGTTATTAAATATACTTAATTGAATAAATACGTTCATAGACTTTACTAAAGAATGCAAAACAACATAAGTAATTATTAGTAATATAGTTACAGTCAAATTCATATAGTTACAACAAATACGAGACGGAGTGGGTAATATTATTTACTTCGTAAAAATGTTTTAATTTTAAAAAAATCTTTAAGAAAGTATATTAATTGATTAGCTGATTATTTATTTTTTTTATTTTTATTTTTTTTATTTTTTTTTAACAAGAAGACCTAGTAACTAATGAAATTAGGAGAGAAAATTAATTTAAATTTAGAATCATATGTGATAAGGAGAGTTAATAATTAGTGAAATTAGGGAAGCAAGGAATTCGAATATAAAATTATATAATAAGAGTACTTCAGATATGTTTTTTTATCAGCGCAACACAACCACACCTATAAATGTAAAAGGGTTTGCATGCATGTGACCATGATTGCACCATTATTACTTTAATGTGGATTATTGACGAGGACCCGCAGATTGAAATGTGATATATCTGCGGGTCTATATATATATATATATATATAATATAGTCCAGGATGCGGGTCTATATATATATATATATAATATAGTCCAGGAGTCGTATGTGGAAACCGGAAGGTGCTGAACATGGCAATTAATTTGGTGGGGATGCGTAGGAAAGTTCTTCTATGGGTTGTTAGGAGATAAAATGGTGTGATATTTGTCTTAATTTCACAAGAATTGTCGCATGCACATGTAGAGTGTAGTGGTGTTTATTTGATCAGGGAATTTAGTACTGAAAATTAAGTATTTAAAATTTTAAGAGTTAAATTTTAAATAATTAAAATTTTAAGTGATAATTAAAAAATAAATATTTTTTAAATTTTTAGTATTAAACATTGAGTGATAAGTGATGATCCTATTATTTAAAATTTTACTTTATTTTAAGTGGTCTTACTTCAAATTGTCATATCAAACTCACTTAATTGAATAAACACTTAATTTGTTAAAAATTAAGTGCTTAATTAAGTAATCAAACAACACCTTGGCTTATAACCTATTCTCAAACATTAATGCTTCACTTGTCGAGAGTGTGTGAGTGCATCACTATACATCTCTATCTTTTTTATCGGCATCACATTATCGTCAATTATAGAATTTTCATTCTTAAATCTCATTGTGAATATTTAAAGAACTTTTTTAATATGAAAAAGAAAATCTTGGAAGCCAGATTTAGAAATTAGTAAGTATTAGGTTTTATCTCTAATTTTTTATCAATATTGAAAAACTTGTTCAAATGTATGTCTGTAACTGTTGGAATATGTGAATGAAATTTGCCGACAACGTGTCTATGTATATCACGTTAGATAGTAACGTGAATGTCAACTGTGTAAGGTCACTTAAACGCACTGACATGAACAATAATAAATTACACAGATAACGTATCCTTTAATGGGTAACTTCAATTGTCCTTTAAACATGTATTTTGTTGAGACAAAAATTGTAAATGTAATCGACATTCAACCGTATTGTTAAGGGATGCATTGCACTTAAAAGGTGCGATAAAGGGGTGTAAGGGGTAGAGATGCAACCAAACTTATGTCTGAACCATTGCAACCAAAAATGAATGTGTGGGATGGCATTAAAGGGACACATCTAATTACCAAGAGGCACCAGTTACTCTATCAATACCCACTTTTCGCTTCCATTTCAATTCATTCATTTTTCCATTCTCTCTCCAACTCTCAACATGAACCTAACCCAAGTGGGTGTGGGTTCAAGCCGTATGGTCAAATAGTTCGAACAATTAGACCAAACATCTATAGCAATGAGTCATATTGCAATTGGTCTGAGCCAAATGATTCGGATTGAACCCAATTCATTCTTTATGTAGGAGAGATGCATTTTTGAGTCAGCAAGAGTATTACACAGAGAATGTTTACCGTATTCACGAGTTTGCTATTGGTGGATGTAGACCGTTGTATCCTGATAGATAAGTGCCACAATGTCCGCCAGCAGCATGTGGGGTGTAAATTGTCTTAAGGACATACTATTCAATAATAGTTTCGGTCTAGGTTCTTTATTTATTATTTATTTTATTGCTTTAATTTGCATATTTAATTAAATATCGAGTTGCATATTTAATTAATTATTTTTTAGCATATTATTAATTATCTCACGACATATTAGTATTTTTTTTTTCCTAGTTGGGAAACTCACACAAACTGCCTCCACTGAGGTTCGAACCCCTAACATTCCTTTGGAAAGTTGGAGCCTTGTACTGCTAGGCCATAGGCCTGTTGGTCTCACGACATATTAGTATAAGGTTAGTTATATCTTAAATGTTATTTGAAGCATATAGTTTTATAACAATCTTAAGACAATTTAATCCTTGCGTAGATTTTATTATATAAATGATTCTATTTAAGATATAAACAACTAGAGATTATACTAATAATTGAGATATAATAAAATAATGTTACATACATTATTATATGATAATATACTAAATATTGATGTGTTCAATATTACGTGAAATTGAAGCATGTTATATAAGTAGATTATTGAATTATTTATATAATTCAATATTGGTTGAATTATTTTAATTTTGTAATATGATTTTATGTAGTATATATTATATTATCTTAAATTTGTGCCAACTAGAGGTGGAAAAAGGTACTTTGTTACTTTTATCAATGATTGCAAAAGATACTATTATGTATACTTGCTACGAAGTAAAGATGAAACCTTAGAAATGTTTAAACATTACAAAAATGAGGTTGAGAATCAATGTGAAAAAAAGATCAAGGTGTTAAGAAATGATAGAATTCGTGAATACGAAACACCATTTGTTGATATTTGTTCAGAGCATGGTATCATTCACGAAGAAATGATGAATATTA